GGAATCAATGCAGAGACCCGAACTGAGTGGGCATCTGGCTTTTAAGGTGGACTGGGAGGAGGCTGAAACAGGGGGCAGGTGCACAAAATCAAGTCCAAAGTGAAAGAGCCGGAGCGTAGGGAGGGACTACAATAGTGAGACAATCATTTACACATAACTTAATTAAGATATATGTTTTGTTATCAAGTGTTAAAAAATGAAACAAAAACAAGTTGCACTACGTTGGTGTAGTTTTCTGAATTATTCACCATCATCATCATCATCATCATCACCATCATCATCATCATCATCATCACTGTTACTAACTTTAAGTTTACTTTGTTTGTCTGATAGCATGTCAGCTATGTAAAATGAATTAATTCAGCAAGTATTGCACTATGTTCATATTAGTTTCTGATGTTAGCTGGTTTTGTGATGTCAACATTTTGGTACACAGCACATTATTATATTCTGGTGGCACAGTAGTGATCCCAATATGTAGGCTCTGTAGCCAAATACATCGTTTTAAGGATTATAGGACCTTTCTCCTTGCACAGGTTCATTGGACCCCACCAGCACACCCACAAACCTGTGCAAGATCTTAAATCACATAAATACCATTTTTATTCTACTACAAATTGATATCACGGTATGCACAAACAATTAAGTAAAATGTATCCACAGCAGACACACACAGAAATCAATTAAGACAGTAAGCAAAACCCCCAAAAGTCCCAAAAACGATTACTAGCACCATTTTCCGAAATCACTGCACTGAAAAAATAAACAGAACTCTGCACAGTCTTTCAAATTCATGTAAGATCCTCTTAGCTTTTAAGCCCCAAACAATACATTCCACCTACCCTACTCTCCTTCTAGCTCCTGACCGGAAGGTCCTGGGTTTAACCCCAGGTAGGGGCAAGTGCTGTACTGGAGCTTGCTCTAATTCCTTCCAGACGGCTCCCAGGTCCACTCAGCCTGCTTTCCAAGTGAGTACCGGGGGTTAATCCTTCCGGGAATAATAGGCCTGCTGAGCGTGATGCCGACCACATCACCTCCACCTCCAGTGTCAGATGGTCAAAGACAATTGGTGGCCCTTGCCCCCCATTCCCCATGGACCTTTCTGGCCCAAAAAAGGGACCTACCTACCCTACTCTCCACAACAAATCACCTGTGCCTTCCTGTGCCTTCCTCTCTTCCTGACCTCCAGGGTTCACTGGCTTATACTGTCTATGCTCTTTCTGACCAGACCAGGACCTGAGAAGCTGGAAGGTCCAGGAGATCACTGTTCATAGTGTCCACTGTCCACTCCCCGCACCTAGAGACAAATGGCTACTGCATTGAAATTATTAAAGTAAAACAGGGAATTAGTGTAATGATTACTCAACCCATGGCTTAAGGTGAGGTAAATTGTTGAGACAAGCAGGCTTGCTGGAAAGTTAAAACTCCATTAAGCCATAGTTTGGCTTTGGTACATGTTGTTGTCATACAGTATATCATTATTTTAAAATGAATAAGTAGACATGGAGCTAATCATGTCTACCACCAGGGATCTAACTATGTTTATATGGACTAGAAAATTGCATACTTGGTGTAGTAGGTAAGCACAAAAGTGATTGAACAACTGTGACATCAATCAACAGACACAAATAAGGAATGCCCCCTTGCTCAATGTATGAGGATCAAACCCACAATCTTCAAATCATGAGATTGATACGTTATCTACTACTATCCCAACAAAGCTAGATGCTGTGCACAAGGAAAAAGAGAAATGGACTGGAGCTTACACTATCACACAACCGACCTTGTCATGCATTTAGCACTATTATAAGATATTATTATTATTTCCTAACCAAAGCTTTTCTTAACCTGCTCATACTGTTCCAAGGTCTTCTTTCTAATTTCTCCTGCCACACCTCTTTCTAGTTTAACTGGCTTCCTTATTTCAGGAACTTGCCTTCTCACAGTCATTATAATTAATACAGTTTGCTTTGCATTCTGTCTGCCTTGCAAATTGTGTGGAGGTTTATGTTTTTCTTTGACTTGAAATAGGTAACCCAAAGTGTGTCCTGAGTAATATGATATGGTCACAACAAGTTGTGATAATTTTAAGCAAAAAGTAGAATGTGATTGTTCTTTAAAATTGAAAAAAGTCGATTGATTTGCTTTTAAGTTGAATTTCTATAGCTGTGTAAACATTTACATACAATTTCTTTGGGTTTTCTAAGAGATAAAAAGTGACAACTTTTTTTCAACAACCACATCGGGAATCTAAGAGAAGTGTTTTCACCTGTGGACAAATTGAATCAGCACTATAGATTTAATCATAGAAATATACATTATTAGTTTACAAAAATCATCAAGTAAAAATGTTTTATATGCTGGTTTGGCAACATCAGTACTGA